TTTTTTAACTTAAAATTAAGTCCCTTATGGGTAGTGATTTTTGTCTTAAGTTTAAAACTAATGATAATTTGTGTTTTTACTACAAGGCACTATTAATGAATTTTCTTACATACTACACACTGGTCTTCAGACATGAATTATAGTAATTGCCTGCCTGCTGTTTTTGTTTTGTTTTAATTTGCTATAGGTCATGTGCATTCACAGGGCATAGTGAGAAAGTGCCCCCTCCCCCGCAGCAGGGGATGGCTCTTCTCTTCCATTTTCCTCTTAGGGTTTTGGCATGCACGCATAAGTACCTAGCCTTTTTTTTTTTTTTTTTTTCCCCCCAAGCCACTGGGTCTGGAACTTGAACTGCACAGTTGGCTGTGTGGGATCCATTCACCTTAACCACCATGCCACTGGCTGGTCCTTTGATCTTTTATAATAGCTATTTTTTCTTAGGTAATTTATTTTATGGCAAGACCTGAAGTGTTTCTTTTTTTTTTTTTTTGAGAGGTTTTTCGCTATAGGGCACGTGCGCTTGCCAGACAGACAGAGAGAGACATAGAGACAGAAAGTGAGAAATCACCCCCCAGGGGGGATGGCCACACCGCAGTCCCTTCTCCTCCATTCTCCTCTCAGGATCTTGGGCACGCATGCACACGCGCCCGGCGTGAGTTCTAAGCCACTGGGTCTGGGACGCGAACCAGTGTCGACTACGTGGGAGTCCAGTGACATAGCCATTACGCTAACTGCTGGTTCCCTTTTTTTTTTTTAAGACCTGAAGTGTTTTTATAGCACTTGTGTTAAGCAAAATACATCTCTTGAAAATAATGCTGAGTGAAAAAAGCCAGTCTCAAAAGGGTATATACTACACGATTATTTTATTTTATCCATAGAGCACATATTTGAAATCAGTTTCTTTTTTGCTGAGTTCAGTAAGATCAAGCCTTTCCTTATTTATGGCAGTTGAACTTGCTATTGTTATTTTTATCTTTGCTTGAATATCTTCTGGAAACTAGTCCAAATTTTCATTTAATCATATCCAAAAACTTGGAAGGACTTGACTTTTAAAAGTATAAAATCTTGGTTGGGACTAGCAGTTAGCGTAATGGCTATGTCGCTGGACTCCCATGTAGTCGACTGCAGTTTGTTTCCTGGACCCAGTGGCTTAAACTCACGCCGGGCACATGGGCGTGCGCGCCCAAGATCCCGAGAGGAGAATGGAGGGAAGGGATTGCGGCGTGGCCATCCCCCCTGGGGGGTGATTTCTTGCTTTCTGTCTCTCTGTCTGTCTCTGTCTTTCTGGCAAGCACATGCACCCTATAGGAAAAAATCTCTACCAAAAAAAAAAAGTCTTGGGACCAGCAGATAGCATACTGGCTATGTCTCTGGATTCACATGTATTTGACTGCTGTTCGAGTCCCGGATCCAGTAGCTTAAACTCACACCTGGCGTATGTGCATGCATGCCCAAGATCCCTAGAGGGGCGTGGAGAAGGGATGTGGTTTGGCCATCCCCCTGGGGGGTGATTTCTCATTGTCTCTCTCTCTCTCTCTCTCTTTTTCTGGCGAGTACATGTGCCCTATAGCAAAAACCTCTCCAAAAAAAATAAAATAAAATCTTAGAGCCAGCAGATAGCATGGTGGTTAAAGTATAGTTTGGATCCAGAACCTGACAGCTTGAAAATCACCCCAGGATCTGCCCTGAGCCCAGAAGGGTGATGTGGCTAGGGCACTGGCAACCTCACTATGTCGGCCGTTTTCAATTTTCAGAGTCTGTTGACTGTAATCTTGCTGCTTATATGCACCTGTGCTTGTATCTGATCCTTAGCACCAAGCCTCCTAGACAGAAATAAAAGTGGACTGTTGGGTATATTTTGGAAGTGTGCCAGAATTGGTGAACAGAAGAGCCCATATGTTGCCATGTGGTACATAGTAATGGCCTTCAGCATCATCTTCATACAGTAGCTTGGAAAAATACCAGTATTTAATTGTTATCAGATTTCATCATGAACAAGGACTTATCTGCAAAAAGTAATGGAAAGAATGGTTAACTCTTTTACCTCTGAACACTGAATGAGATAAATTTCTAGTTATTGTTTTCTCCTTTTATATTATTGGACTAGTGTTCTTTATAAATAATTGTGATATAACCTTACTCAGAGGGCTTAATAGTCTATAACAGTCAGTCTCAGCTCTGTCACTACAATATTACATTCTGTAAATGTAATTAGTATTTTGATACCAATTTTTAGTGAGATATCTCAAAGGCACATAGTAGAAAACAAAACTGGTAAATGACTGCAGTTCTTTTCACTGTGGTTTGGAAATGATAAATCTTTATAGAATGAAAAAAAAAAAAAAAAAACCTCACACACCAGGTTAGGGGCCAGCAGGGGGCATAGTGGTTAAGGTGCTGGACCCTCACATGGTTGACAGCAGTTCAAGTCCCTGACTTGGCAGCTTGAAACTCATGGCGGGCACTGTGCGTGTTTGCCCAAAATCTTGAGAAAGAGAATGGAGGAGAAGGGATTGAGGTATAGCCATTCCTCATGGGAGGTGATTTCTTGCTCTCTGTCTCTTTGGCAAGCAAGCATACCCTGTATTAAAAATCTGTTTCGGGAACCAGCAGTTAGCGTAATGGCTATGTCGCTGGATTCCCACGTAGTCGACCGCGGTTCGCGTACCGGACCCGGTGGCTTAAAACTCATGCCGGGCGTGTGTGCGTGCGTGCCCAAGATCCCGAGAGGAGAATGGAGGAGAAGGGATTGCGGCGTGACCATCCCCCCTGGGGGTGATTTCTCGCTTTCTGTCTCTATGTCTCTCTCTGTCTGTCTGGCGAGTGCACGCGCCCTATAGCGAAAATCTCTCCCCCCCAAAAAAAAAAAACCTGTTTCCAAAATAAGAAAGAAAGAAAATGATGCTTGGTGCATATGCCTGTGTGTGCATGCCTGAAATCCTACAAGGAGAATGGAGGAGAAGGAATTACTGTATGACCGTCCCCTCTGGGGGATTATTTCTCACTTTCTGTCTCTGGTGAGTGCATGTGCCTTATGGGGGGAAAAAAAGCATATTTTTTAATTATACAAAAAAATTTATATTGATCAGGTTTTTAAAATTTTAAATATATATGAAATCTTTTTTAAATTTTATTTTTCTCTATATTCTCTATAATATGGATCTAGACTAGTTTCTTATATTTGTTATGTTAAAGATAAAAATAATACATTTTATGTAGGGTTACTTTTATAAAAACAAAAGTTTTACTGCTTCTCTTTTTTTTTTTATTATTATTATTATTTTAGGGGGTGTGCCAAAACCCAGGAGTTGTGGGGGGTTTTTTTGCTATAGGGTACATGTGCTTATGGGAGACAGACATAGATAGAGGGAAAGTGAGAAAGGATCTTCACCAACACCACAAGTGAATGACCATGCCACAATCTGTTCTCCTCCATTCTCCTCTTGGGATTTTGGTCATGTCCATAATATGTACTCATAATGTTTTCCAAGCCACTGAATCTGGTACTTGAACCACTGAGCTACATGAGATCCAGTTGCCTTACCCTCCACACTATCTCCTGGTGATGCTTCTCTTTGTATTTTTAACATTTTGTTTATATGTGATTAAACAGGTTGTTGGTATTTTAGTCATCACCTTTAGTATATTATCTGGAAAAGTGAGAATCAGTGAGCCTCAAGAGTAGATAATTCCTGGGCCAGCTAGGTGGTATGGTGGTTAAGATGGCTAGATTCCACATGACTGTGCAGTTTCATTCCCAGACTAGGAGGCTTGAAAGAATATGCGGACACGTCATGCCTGCCCAAAATCCTGAGAAGGGAATAAAAGAGAAGGATGTGGAGTGGTCATGGTCATTCCTCCAGGAGGTAGGGGTGCTTTCTCACTTTTCCTCTCTCCAGTGAGCACACGCACCCTGTAGAGGGAAAAAAAAAATTTTTTAAATTGACTAAAGTCTAATGATAACTCTGTCTCTTTTTCTCTTATCTTTTTTTTTTTTTTTTTTAAGAGTTTTGACATAAGCCCTTTGAGCTTACCTCGAAGAGACAGAGTGAGAAGACAGAGAAGAAAAGTGAGAAATCACCCTGTGGGGGGATAGCCACATTGCAGTCTCTTCTCCAATCTCCCCTTGGGACTTTGAGCATGTACACACCTGCACCCAGTGTGATTTTCAAGCCATTGTGTTGGGGACTTGAACCATGGAGTCAGCCATGTGGGATCTAGCATCTTAGCCACCATGCCATCTGCTGACCCTGAGAAGACTTTCTTGAATTCTCATGCATGTAGTTGCTTTGTCTGCTCTGGGCTCCCCATAGACCTTTCTTTAAGCCTGTGTTAGATTGCTTATCACATTTATGTTGTAATTTTATCTTTAGTTATTTGTCTTCCCTTTCAGGCCATATATCTCAATAACAAATTGTTCTTCCTTTTCCACTGCCCTCAGGACCTATTGTAGAACAGTGCTTTATATGGAAGGCTTTTCAGTGCATATATTTTGAATGATTATAGCCACAGGTAGTTCTTGCAGCCCCTAAACCTTAAGCACTAACCAAGAGCTTGATATACTATAGTCAGTGGTGATTACTAATATAATGCATTTTATGTTATAGGAAATCATGCCGTTTTAGTGAAATGTTATCTGGTTTATTCTTTCTTCACTTAATACATACAGTCACACACATATTCACAGGTATACACAAAGCAAATTGAAATCTACAGAGGTTGAATGACTTAGTGGTGAAATTAGTACTAAAAATCCAGGTGTCCTAATTTTTTTCTTGTATCATTCTGTTTCCTCTTATGTATTTTAGTCTACTGAGATGATTTACAATGAAAATTTGTTTCCTAAAATTTAGAAGAAAGACCTTAAAAATGTTAATTTAATTTATAATATTAGCTTCTCATTATTAACCATAAATAAGGAATCATTTGCCAACCAGAAAATGAATTCAAAAGAAATTTTGAATTGAGTTACACAGTGGCAGCATTTTTCTGTTTTATAGACTTCCGTGAGTGAAAGCCTTCAGCGGGAAGCAGCTAAGAAACAGGCCATGAAACAGGTAAGGTGAAAGAATGAGATAAGTTATTTAGTAAGTATTTTGTCTTAGATTTTTAAGTAACAATTTTGATAGCTAGGTGCTGACATTAAAACAAAGTAGAAGTGTATAAAGAAATAATTTTATTCTGATCCTTTTTTCCTAAAAAGGCAAAAATGTTTTTTTATTTATATAGCTTATAGATTCCTATATAAATTTAAAGGAAAAACACAGTAAATAATTAACTCTTAGGGGCCAGCAGGTGATATGGAGGTTAAGACTATGGATCCCCCGTGGCCGACTGAGCATTTTGAGTCCTGGACCTGGCAGCTTGAAAATCACAGGCATGCACATGTATGTGCCCAAAATCTATGAGAAGACTTGAGGAGAAGGAATTGTGGCCTAGGAGAGTGATTTCTCATTTTCCCTCTCTCTCTGTCCCACAAATTAGCTCTTAATTGCTGTGTTATATATTAACCTTGTTTAATATATTAAATATACTAAATAATTAAAACTCCTTTCAGATGACTCAGTGGTCTGACAGTGGATTGTTTGGCTTTTGTTTTTTTTGTTTTTTTGTTTTTTTGCAGAGAAAGCAATGCCTGCCAGTGAGCTTAGTTGCCCAAAAATGGTCTATTTGTAATCAAAGCAACTTTACAGTTCTGTAATTACTTGAAATTCACATATTCAGAAATGGAAATATTAGGTAATTCTTCATAATCTTGCCAGCACCTGGTGTTTCCAAGCACTTTTTACATATATACATTATGTTTAAAAATTCTCACAAACCCACTCATGGTCCTGGATGAAGAAATGTGAAATTCAGAAAGGATAAATTGCACCTATTACAGAACTAGGCCTGAAGGTTTATTGATTTTTCTATTTCTACACCACTGTCTCTTTGGCTGCTGCAGAACATAATGAAATTAAGTAATGGCCAGGTAACTTTTCTTCTTTCTTTTTAAGAACTATTCATTTTTACGTATTTATTTATTTTAATTTGATGAGAGAGAGAGAAAGCCATCAAGTCTGGAACTTGAACCGTGGTCAGCCATGTGATAGTCCACCATGCCACCTGCTGACCCCTTCTTTTCTATTTTAATTCTTTCTCCACATTCTTCTTGCAGTTCTTAGTACACATTATCCACTTTTCTAACTAGAAACATGAATAGAGTAAATTTATGAAGTACTTTTTATATGCCAGACCTTATGGCAATGACTTTCTAAGGATTATTTTTAATTTTTACAACAATCCTAGGAGAAAGATGCTTTTATAAACCTCATTTTACAGTTTGAATGAAGGCAAGAAGAATTTTATGTGACTTATGTAAGGTCACTTAGTGAGTAAATGATAGAGTTGTATTCAAACCTAGGTGGTGAAATTGCAGAGCCCAAGCTTTTAGCCTTTATATTTTAACTGCTTCTTTGGGGAATTGGCACACAATTATGTATTTAGTTATTTTAATATAATGCATAATTTTCTAGTAGAATAATATGTAGCCTAGCAGCCTCAGAATGATTTAAAGTACTCATAAAAACATTTTTTAAAGAATTATTTAATTTTATGTATTGTTATTATTTTTTTTAACTTGACCAGAGAAAGACAGAGAGAAGCAAGCTGCCAGGTCTGGAACTCAAACCATGGTCAGCCATGTGGGAATCCAGTGCCGTTATTAACCAGCACACCACCTGTAGGCCCCCATATAAAAACATATTTTTAAAAATGATTCTTTAATGTAAATGCTGGACTGCTTTGAATCAGGATTTTAGAGATCGGTAGAATTTTTGACTCCATCAGGTTCAACTTCTTCACTATATAAATGGGAGAATTAGTTCCAGAGAGTTGAGTGACTTCTTACAGTCATACAGGTATCTTGTTTTTCAGTGTTCTTTTAACATTTTTGTGCTACCTTCTTCACTTACAGCATAAACCCCAAATCTAATTTTATTATTAACTCTGGCTGTTCAAAGCCACTTTACCTATTGAGACTTTTTCGTAATTTCCTTGGAAATTGGCAATATTCGCAAGGCGTGCTCCCTGCAGCAGTTCCTGCACCTGGTGGGGCAGCTCAAAAGAGTCCCACAGACTGACTGGGTATACTGAAATATCATGGGACCAAAGAGTGTGTCAGTCACATGTACTGGGTGGCAGTTATAGCTGTGGTGACCAAAGATGAACATCTGAACAAAGGCCGGAAGCTGTGAAGCAGATAACTCAGCTTCTTTCAGAGGACCTCAGAAAGGAGCTTATGAGTGTGGGAAAAGTATGAGTCTCAATCTAGTGTGGAAGCCAAATTTGTGAAGCAATAGGACCAGTGTGAGATGATTTTTCAGGCATCTGAATATGAAGATTTGGAGAATCTTCATATTCTCCCGGGAGACTGTAGAACTTCTATGATTCCAATGCAGGAAAATTCAGTTACCCAGAGGTAGTTGAGCCAGTTTCTGAACTTGAGGCCAAAAGAAATGTTAACATAGTTGGTACTGCCAGTGAGCCACTCTCCTGAGGTGTTCCTGACTTTGCTGCATTCCTGGGACAAACATTTTATTTTTCCGTTTCATGGTACTGTGTTTGCCACTGATGGTCTATAGATTTTCCCAGATGTGAATCTGTTCCTTTTCAATTATCTGGACCTTTGTAAGGAATGCAATGTGATTTGGGCACTGAAGGAGGCCACAGAACAGCAGGAAGTGTTTGTGAAATGGATGAACGTGGATGGAGACTGGAAGGAGGGGTACATTTTTTATGAATGAGATAAATACATACTGAACACACACAAAGAAGAAATTGGCAGCACTGCTGCAGTGCTGCTTAAACTACTTGTCCATTGCTGCTTTGTTGCCCCTAACCTATATATTTTGTTGACTGGTTTAGCTCTTTTTTTTTTTTTTTTTCCACTAGCTTGATTGCATTTACCAAATCTTAGAGAAAATTGCTTTAAAAATGGGATACTTTCGGGCCAGCCAGTGGTTTGGTGATTAGGGCAGATGGATCTCACATGGCCAACTGCATGGTTCCAGACTTAGCAGTTCAAGAAACACATGTGTGTGCATGTATGCCCAGAATCCTGAAAGGAGGGAGAAATGGAGGACAAGGAATTGCAATGTGGCCATCCCTCATGGAGGATGTTTTCTTGCATCCCCCCCCCGCCTTGTTCTTCATGTCACTCCCCCTCTCTCTCTCATAAGAGAGCACAGGAAAGATTTTTGTTTGTTTTTGTTTTTTGTTTTGTTTTGTTTTGAGAGATTTTTGCTATAGGGCACGTGCGCTCACCAGAAAGAGAGACAGAAAGTGAGAAATCACCTCCAGGAAAGATGGCCATGCCACAATCCCTTCTCCATTCTCCTCTTGGGATCTTGGGCACACACGCACATTCACCCAGCATGAGTTTAAGCCATTGGGCCCAGGACTTGAACTGCACTCTTCTTGGTATCTTGGGCATGCACACACATGCACCTGGCGTGAGTTTAAGTCACTGTGTCCAGGACTTGAACCGCGGTCGACTACATGGGAGTCTAGTGACATAACCATTATGCTAGCTGCTGGTCCTCAGGAAAGTTTAATGTATAGTATAGGCATCTCAAAGCCAGAGTTAGATGTTTCTCAGTCATACACTGGACCATTTAACCTTTCAATGTGGATAATTATAAGACATGAATAGGTGATAATAGAATAGTTCATGTTGATTGAACACTTACTCTTTGTCAGGCTCTAGGTGTTTTAAGTTTGTTAAGTCATTTAATTATCACAGTATGAGAAAGAGATTAAATTGTCCTCACCTTTTTTTTTGAGAGGTTTTTGCTATAGGGCGCGTGCGATCGCCAGACAGACAGAGAGAGACACAGAGACAGAAAGCGAGAAACCACCCCCGGGGGGGGATGGTCACGCCGCAATCCCTTCTCCTCCATTCTCCTCTCGGGATCTTGGGCACGCACGCACACGCACCCAGCGTGAGTTTTAAGCCACCGGGTCCAGGATGCGAACCGCGGTCGACTACGTGGGAATCCAGCGACACAGCCATTACACTAACTGCTAGTTCCCATCACCTTTTTTTTTAAGGTTAGGAAAACTAGGGGGCTGGCAAGTGGCGTGGTTAAGGCACTAGACTCCCATGTGACTGACTGCAGTTTGAGTCCGGGACCTGGTGGCTTGCTTTCTCACTTTCCTTCTCTCTATCTCTGGTCAAATTAAAAAATAATACTAATACTAATAATACCAGCAGATGTCATAATTGTTACATCGCTGGACTTCCACGTAGTTGACTGCAGTTTGAGTCCTGGACCTGGTGGCTTAAAACTCATGTTGGGTGCATGGCCATCCTCTGTGATGTGTGATTTCTCACTTTATGTTTCTCCAGCAAGCACATGTACTCCATAGCAAAATGGCAAGTGGCGTGGTTAAGGCACTAGACTCCCATGTGACTGACTGCAGTTTGAGTCCGGGACCTGGTGGCTTGCTTTCTCACTTTCCTTCTCTCTATCTCTGGTCAAATTAAAAAATAATACTAATACTAATAATACCAGCAGATGTCATAATTGTTACATCGCTGGACTTCCACGTAGTTGACTGCAGTTTGAGTCCTGGATCTGGTGGCTTAAAACTCATGTTGGGTGCATGGCCATCCTCTGTGATGTGTGATTTCTCACTTTATGTTTCTCCAGCAAGCACATGTACTCCATAGCAAAAATATCTTTAAAAAATATATTAATAATAATAATTAATAAAATTAGGGACCAGCAGATGGTATAATAGTTACATCTCTGGACTCCCGTGTAGTCAACCAGGGTTCAAGAGTCAGACCCAGTGGCTTAAACCTCACATTGAGTGTGTGTGCTTGCGTGCCCAAGATCCTGAAAGGAGAATGGAGGAAAAGGGATTGGGGTGTGGCCATCCTCCCTAGAGGGTGATTTCTCACTTTCTGTCTCTCTGGCTTTATAGCAAAAATCTCTCTAAATTAATTAATTAACTCTTTTTTAAAAAATTAGGGGGACCAGCAGTTAGCGTAATGGTTATGTCGCTGGAATCCCACGTAGTCGACCGCGGTTCGAGTCCCAGACCTGGTGGCTTAAACTCACGCCAGGCACGTGTACGTGCGTGCCCAAGATCCCGAGAGGAGAATGGAGGAGAAGGGATTGTGGCGTGGCCATCTCCCCTGGGGGGTGATTTCTCGCTTTCTATCTCTCTGTCTCTCTCCGTCTGTTTGGCAAGCGCACGCGCCCTAGAGCAAAAACCTCTCCAAAAAAAGAAAAAAGAAAAAAAAATTTAGGAAAACTGGAGCCAACAGGTGGCATGGTGGTTAAAGGTGCTGGACTCCCACGTGCCAAGCACGTATTGAGTCCCAGACCTGATGGCTTGCTTTCTTACTTTCCCTTTTTTTCCCTGTTTCTCTCTGATCAAATTGGAAAATAGTAATAATAATAAATAAAGCAAAATAAAATAATTCTTTTTTAAAAATTAGGAAAGCTAAGGCACAAAAAAGATAAACAAGTTTGTCTAAAATAATTAGTAAGTATAGATCCAGGATTCATATCCAAACAGTATGACTTTAGAATTTGCATTCATATTTTTTTATTTATATTTATTTTGTTGTAGGGTATGTGTGTTCTCTGAATAAAAAAGGAAGAGGGAGGGAGAGGGAAAATAAGAAAGCCCCCCTCAGCGGAGATGGCCATGCCATAATCCATTCTCCATTTTCATCTTGTGATTGTAAACATGTGTTTTTCAAGCTTCTGGGTCCAGGACTTGAACTGCACAGTTGGCTCTATAGGACCCAGCCACCCTAATCTTCATACCATCTGCTGGCCCATATATTTATATTTACTAAAATATCATTGATGAAATTTTTATGACATATTTCTAATTTATGAACCTTTCTCAAAAAAAAAGTATGTATAGATTTTTGTGATATCTGTTGACTGGCTTATTTTTGAAACATGTTTAATTTTTTTTTTTTTTAAGACAAAACTGGAAATCCAGAAGGCCCTTGCAGAAGATTCCACTGTATATGAATATGACAGTATTTATGATGAAATGCAGAAAAAAAAGGAGGAAAATAATCCCAAATTGCTTTTGGGAAAAGATCGAAAGGTTTGTTGTTAAAATAAAGCTTTCTTTGATACTAAACCTACATTCTATATCTTAAATCTTATTTTAACATGAGAGTTAATCTGAGAACTTTTAGGTATTTAAAGTGCTATAGGGCAGGTGTGCTTGTTGGAGAGACAGACAGGAAGTGAGAAATCACCCCCCAGGGGGATGGCCACACTGCAATCCCTTCTCCATTCTCCTCAAGATTTTTGGATACACACGTGCCTGGCATGAGTTTTAAGATACCAGGTCTGAGATTAGAACTGTTGTCTACGTCATGGGAGTCCAATGACGTAACCATTATGCCATCTGCTGGTCCCAAATAACAGTTTTGTTCATTTTCTTTTTTGCTTTGAAACCTCTATATATAATTGTTTGAATTTTTTGTTTTAGAAATCATATGTTTAAAATTTGTACTGCTTCTGGGAACCAGCAGTTAGTGTAATGACTATGTCGCTGGACTCCCATGTAGTCGACCATGGTTCGCGTCCCGGACCCAGTGGCTTAAAACGCCAGGTACGTGTGCGTGCGTGCCCAAGATCCTGAGAGGAGAATGGAGGAGAAGGGATTGCGGCGTGATCATCCCCCCTGGGGAGTGATTTCTCGCTTTCTGTCTCTGTTTCTCTCTGTCTGGTGCGTGCACGCGCCCTATAGTGAAAACCTCTCCAAAAAAAAAAAAAAAAAAAAACTTGTACTGCTTCTGTCTTGTATATCTATATTTTATTGTCTTATCATGGTAACTCAATCATCTGCCTCCACATTTCATGGTCACTTTTTTTTTTTTTTGAGAGATTTTCGCTGTAGGGCGTGTGTGCTCACCAGACAGGCAGAGAGAGCCATGGAGACAAAAAGCGAGAAATCACCCCCCAGGGGGGATGATCACGTCGCAATCCCTTCTCCTCCGTTCTCCTCTTGGGATCTTGGGCACTCACGCCACGCGCTCGGCGTGATTTTTAAGCCACCAGGTCCAGGACGCGAACCGCGGTCGACCATGTGGGAGTCCAGCGACATAGCCATTACGCTAACTGCTGGTTCCCCATGATCACATTTTTAGTTGAAAAAAATTGGGGACTGGATGGGAATTAAAATAAGTTCAAATTTTCTGTCACTCTTGTTCTTTTATTTAAGCAGACTGATTTTTGAGGATATTTGCATCTTAAAAGTCTTCACTGGGACCAGCAGATGGCGAAAGGCTATGTTGCTGGACTCATATGTAGTCGACTGTGATCTGAGTCCTGGACCTGATAGCTTAAACTCATGCCGAGCACATGTGCGTGCGTGCCCAAGATTCCGAGAGGAGAATGGAGGAGAAGGGATTGGATTGTGGCATGGTCATTCCCCTTGGGGGATCATTTCTCACTTTCTGTCTCTCTGTCTCTCTCTGTCTTTCTGGTGAGCACATGTGCCCTATAGTCGGGGGGGGAACCTCTCCCCCAAAAAAGTCTTTATTATCTGAGATATATTTTATGTTGGGTAAATTCTCTTTATTAGCCAAATGATGTATAGCGATCAAATGTGTACAAAAACAGGAATAATAATAATAATTAAAAATTTTTAAGTGTCCATTAAAATGATAGTATAAAATTGTATTAAAGCTACTATTCTACTATTTTAATTCATCATTTTTACTAAGTGTAAAAAACTAGTAGGAACTTCTCTAATTTATTTATTTGTTAAATTAAGAGAATGCCAGTAAAAATGGTGGGGAAAACACTGGGAAATTATTTTTCTTTGAGTTAAAAAAAAAATAGTAAGATAGCATTATGAATAATTATTTCTGTTACACTTAAATTCTTTATTGAAAGCAATATTAACCTTGCTAGCAAATTTATATTAATATGAATAGCAAATAATTCTATTTGGTCTAGTCATTTTGTTAAAGATGTATCCTTTTTTAAGACTATTTAATTTTTATTTACTACTATTACTGTTTTTGAATTTGCTATAGGGCACATGCACTCTTCAGAGAGAGACAGAGAGAAAGCCGCCAGGTCCAGGACCCAAACCATGGTCTCATATGGGAGTCCAGCACCTTAACCACTACGCCACCTGCTGGCCCCAGGACTAGTTACTTTTATCTTTTTAGAGTACATGATAAAAATTATAAGAGTATTAGCAGTATTATTAACAATATTATTAATTTTGTCTCATTCCTAAATAATCTTCTCCCCTTAGCCCAAGTATATTCACAATTTACTTAAAGCAGTTGAGATCAGAAAAAAGGAACAGGAAAAAAGAATGGAAAAGAAAATACAGAGAGAACGAGAAACAGAAAAGGGAAAATTTGATGATAAAGAGGCATTTGTGACATCTGCTTATAAGAAAAAACTGCAGGAGAGAGCTGAAGAGGAAGAAAGAGAAAAGAGGGCTGCTGCACTAGAAGGTAAGATGGAAGGGGGAAGAAGGTAAAAAGAAACAGCTACAAAATCTCTGTCCTATGGTTAGCCATTTGCTTGGTCACTGATATTGTGATCATGGGGCTAGTAGGTGGTGTGAGGTTAAGGCACTGGACTTTCACATGGCCGATTGCAATTTGAATCCTGAATTTAGTGGAGTGAAAATCACCAGGCAACTGGCTTTTAACTTAATTGATTTATTGATTTATTTTAATTTGACCAGAGAGGAATAAAGAGAGAGAGGGAAAGCGAGAAAGCAAGCCTCTAGGTTAGAAATCACCCCCCGGGGGGGATGGCCACACCACAGAACTTTCTCCTTCCTTGTCCTCTTGGGATCTTGGGCACACATGCACACACTCCTGGCGCGAGTATTAAGCTGCCAGGTTCAGGACTTGAACAGTGTTCTACTATGTGGAGTCCAGTGATGTAATCATTATACCATCTGCTGGTCCCAATAAATAATTCTTTGAAAAAAAAAAATAACACTAATTGAAGAAAGATTAAAGATGTGCCAGAGCTAAAGTGCCTTACTTTAGTGCTTTATACACTTCTCATTACACGTTATTTCTCAAGATGTAGGTAGACTATGTAAAATAATTGAAATGGCAGTGCCTATTAACTTTACATGGAAGGAAAACAAATCTGTAAGATTCTCTGTCTGACCACGTACTGTGTTCATTGGTTAACAAATTTTCTGTCAAGGACTAAATAGTAATTATTTTAGGCTTTCATATAAATACTCTTTCTTTTTTTTTTTTTTTTTGAGAGAGAGAGATTTTCGCTATAGGGCTTGTGCACTCACCAGACAGACAGAGAGAGACAGAGAGACAGAAAGCGAGAAATCACCCCCCCAGGGGAGATGGTCACGCAGCAGTCCCTTCTCCTCCATTCTCTCGGGATCTTGGGCACGCGCCCGGCGTGAGTTTTAAGCCACCGGGTCCAGGACGCGAACCACAGTCGACTACGTGGGAGTCCAGTGACATAGCCATTACGCTAACTGCTGGTTCCCTCATATAAGTACTCTGTTGCAGCTTCTCATTTCTTCCTTTGTAGTACAAAAGCAGCCATGCACAATACATAAACAAATGAGCAGGACTATATTCCAATAAAAATTTTATTATTTATGAAAACAGGCAGCAGGCCATATTTGACCTGCAGGCTATGCTTTGCCAACTTCTGATCTAGAGAAGAATTTATACACTGTGTTGTATACTCTGTGTCTATAAAATGAAACTGTATTGTGCCTTCTTAAATAGTTTTCACTTTTGCTTTCCTTCTTTTAGCACGTTTGGATGTAACCAAACAGAAAGATCTCAGTGGATTTTATAGGCACCTGTTAAATCAGACAGTTGGTGAAGAGGAAGTACCTAAATGCAGCTTTCGTGAAGCCAGGTGAGATGTGGCAGGTGGAATATTCAAAGTTACTGTTGATTATCTATGGATGCGGGGTCCTTTTATCACTTTGAAAGATAAAGGATTAAGCATTGCATGCATGTTGTCAGTTAACCTGACATAGTTGAATGAATGGCAAGGAATTTGCAGTTTCTTCATTTAAAACCTACAGATTTACTTCAGGATCATTTTTATTCTGTTAGTTCACAAAGATTGTTATTGCTTACTTAAAAGATTCTCAGTGATTGAGTTTAATGTTACTGTACAGCCAAAGACTTAAACTTTTAATGTATAAAATGTCTGAATATCTAAAGGCTTTCTGAGTCTTATAAATAACCTTCAAGAGGTAGCAAAACTAAATTGTGGGGGGATTAGCAGTTAGCATAATGGCTCTGTTGCTGGACTTTCATGTAGTCGACTGCGGTTTCAGTCCCGGACCCGGTGGCTTAAACTCACACCAGGTGCGTATACATGCGTGCCCAAAATTCCGAGAGGAGAATGGAGGAAAAGGGATTGCGGCGTGGCCATCCCCCCGGGGGGGTGATTTCTCTCTGTCTGTCTCTGTCTTTCTGGCGAGTGCATGCACCCTGTAGCAAAAACCTCTTCAAAAAAAGAAAGAAAGGAAAAACTAAATTGTGAGTGGTTTTGTTATATTTTGTTTTTATGCTTAGAGGCCACATGTGTGCATGCATAAGAGAGGGAGAGGGCCCTTCCCACATCAGGGCCCCATCATGCTGCAATAGCCTTTAATCTCCAATTTTCTACCAAGTCAGAATCTTGGGCACACATACATACACCCACCTTGAAGCCAACCGTGGGTTTTTTGTTTTGTTTTGTTTTTAAGGGTTTTTTTTCCCCCATAGGACCAGAGAGAAAAAGATAGCAAGAAGAAAAGTGAGAAATCACTGCTCAGGGGGGATGGCCACACTGCAGTCCCTTCTCTCTCATTCACTCAGGATTCAGGGCATGCACACATGTGCACACAGAGTGATTTTTCAAGGTACTGCATCCAGGACACGAACTGCGATTAGCCATGTGGAAGTCCAGCACCTTAACCACTATGCAGCCTGCTGCCCACTGGACTGGTATTTAAACTCCAGTCAGCTATATGGGATCCAGCTTACTCTGCACAGCCCTGTAGGGCTATGGGGCAGACCCTGGTATGTAACTGAATATATAGGTAACCTTTATAGCCCTGGTATTTTAAAATGATTGCTGTCAGAGTTAAGGAGAAGTTTGGGAAGAATCAGGTGTTATACAGAAAAATCCTACATGTATGTTCTAATAGTAAATAAAGAAAATGTTTTTATTTATTTATTTATTTACTTACTTATTGGAGAGGTTTTTGCTATAGCACACATGTGCTCGCCAGAAAGAGAGAGACAGAAAGTGAGAAATCACCCCCCAGGGGGATGACCACACCGCAATCCCTTCTCCACCGTTCTCCCCTCAGAATCTTGGGCACGCATGCATATGTGCCCGGTGTGAGTTTAAAGCCACCAGGTCTGGGACTCGAACCACAGTCGACTACATGGGAGTCCAGCAACAGCCATTATGCCAACTACTGGTTCCCAAAATGGTTTATTTTCATAAATAAGACTCAGCCTCCATAAAAGGTAAGGTTCACATATCAAGGGCTATGTCTAATAAATAGCAACTAGTTATTGGGTTGTTGGAAAAGTCATGATGTGTTTTTGCATAGAAAAACTTAAAAAGATCAGACTCTTGAGAACCCAATACATATGGGCTATTTAAGTTAATTAAAAATAAATAATACTGGGGCCAGCAGGTGGCATAATAGTTACGTCGCTGGACCTGGTGGCTTAAAACTCACGCCGAGCGAGCGTGCACGCGCACCAAAATCCTGAGAGGAAAATAGAGGAGAAGGGATTGTGGCGTGGCCATTTCCCCTCAGGGGTGACTTCTCACTTTCTGTTTTTCTGTCTCTGTCTCTCTGGTGAGCACACTTGCCCTATAGCAGAAAAGTCTCCAAAAAAAAAAAACTTCACATATTAAATAAAGCAATTTGATGAATTTTAAAATGTTTGTACACCTGAAACCATCATCACCACAGGGTGATAGACATATCCTTTACTACTAAAAGTTTTCTTGTGCTTCTTTCTTTTATTTTGATATATATATATTTTTTTGCTGTTGTTGTAGGAACACTTAATGTGAAATCTACCCTCTTAAATTTTTAAGTGTACAATGCAGTATTGTTATCGATAGGCATCGTGTTGTATAGCAGCCTAAAATAAATAAATAAATAAATAAATAAAATAACAAAAAATAATACCTAAAATTTAGTCTCCATGGCTAAAAGCATGTCAAGTACTCAGTTGCTGCATTTGGCAAGTCTAGTGATAACCATCCCAGATAGCTCGGATATACTAATTTATATAAGTTAGCCATACTTACCAGCTGAGAAAAACAAATGACATAAATAATTTTTATGTTATTGGTTTTGATATCAATAACTGGAGAGATTTGTATATTTAAATATTGAAGGACCAGCAAATAGCATAGTGATTAAGGCACTGGAAACCCACATGTCTGAGCATGGTTTGAGTCCTAGATCTGACAGCTTGAAAATTATGTTGGGTGCGTGTGTGTGCATGCCAAAAATCCCAGGAGGAGAATAGAGACAGCATTCCAGCACAGCCATCCTCCCTTGTGAGAAGGTGATTCTGACTTTCTCTCTCACTGTCTCTTTCTGGTGAGTGTATATGACCTATGGCAAAAAACTTTTTAAAAGTTGAGAAAAATTATGTGGGCACTTTCTTTGCTTACTATAAGTGATAATGTAGCATTTTGTGTGTGTCTTTTTTTAAAGGACTGGGATAAAGGAGGAGAAACCAAGGGGTTATTCTGACGAAGTAAGTTCAGAAAACAGAATACCACGTGAGAAATGCAGTCTCCAGACCAGTATGAAAGTAGAGGAAAATCCAGATGCAGACAGTGACTTTGATGTTAAGAGCAGCGATAATGATGAAATGGAAGAAAATAAAGTGCACTGCAGAAGGGAAAAAGTCACAGAGACCTTTGACAATGACTCCAAGCATCACAGGAATCAGACTCACTCACGATCATCTAGTGAAGAAAGAGGGCATGGTACCATATGCCACATAAAATCCTCCAAGTCAAGAGGACATGAGAAAAGGGAAGAGGAGCACCGAAAGAGGTGGTCCAGAGACCAGGAGGAGGACTATTGCCCTGACCATGACCTTCGAAAAGAAAAGAAGGATTCTTACAGGCACAGAGAGGTCAGTCATAGAGATTCCCAGTGGAAGAAACATGAACAAGAAGATAAACTGAGGGGAAGAGATCAAAGAGAAAAAAATGACAGAGAATGGAAAAAGAAATATTCCCCAAGAGAGCAAGAAAGAGAAAGGCAACGAAATGATCATGACCGACACAGTGAGAAAGGAGGAGAGAAAGTGGAGAAAAGCAAAGAAAAGGAAGAACATGTGAAAGGGAGGAAGGAAAGATATGAAAATAA